GCTCTCCGCTCGCCAGCACACACAACGAGACAAAGGGCTCCCCCCCACCCCCTCCAGCCATTAGCAGAACGTTTGGGCAAGTGCTATTAGTGAGCGCCTATTAAGGCCTGCACGGTACTACACGGGGGAGTTGTGTAGGCAGCACCACGGCTCGGCTGCTTTTGTCACCTCGGTGTGTTTACACAACGCACCGGACGACAACTTCAAACATCAGCCACTGCTGATGTTAGGAATCAAATTCAGATGACCGGGGTTATAGTGCGGTGCGCGTTGTCCACCGTACCAGCGCTCCCTTGCACGCACACGGCCACACAGCCACTTGCACACCGACGCAAGCTGCACCCGAAAGTGCTCTCCCCTGTGCGCGAGGGAGCAGCGAGCACTGCGGGGGTGGATCAGCAGCGCTACGTACACCCCCCCTCCTCCAAATAGGGCAGCATGTCACGGCTAATCAGCTGGCGCCTGTATAGGCTCACAAGCACTGCCGAGGGGCCTGCAGGTGTAAACAATGCTCCACGCGCGCTCTGGCCGCTTGTGGGTTTTTCCTACTGGAATTTGGCCTCTGCACTCAGGCTCGTCGTACCGCGGGCGCCGCTGAGTACCCATTAAGGGACGGCTCTTGCACCTGGCTGCGGTGCCAATGCGGGTCGCTTAGGAGGCGCCGCTAATGAATGGCGTGCGAGTGGGAGGGCGAGTCCTCCGCATGGGCACCTTCTCGCTTGCGTACCCACGGTCGCGGATAGCCAACGGAGGCCGTTGTGACTGTCGAGTAATTTTCGGCGACAACTCGCCCGTTGTTTTTTTTCATTTCGAGTGCCAAGGAGTGCATTTCTATGAAAGTGATATTTAAAGGGTTAGTCCCCCGTGGACTGGTATTGAGTTATCACCACACAAGCCGAAGTGACTGGTGCCCCACTTATTATGACAACCCGATACAGCCACACGGCGTGTTATGAGGTCTGTGGTATGACATTGTATCATGTCTTAACTAATACAGTATCTGGGGTCCATGTCAATGTGCCACTTAATATTTATGGTCGTGTCATTTTTTTTAGCATACCATGAATATTAAGTGACTTTTTAATGTAAAAAAACCTAACAAGTGAACACACATTTGCAAAAGGAGCTCGTAATGTGTTCTTCCAGCTTTTTGGATCTTTTTCATCGGCTGACTTGTAAATTCATTTCTTCCAGTTGATGATGCATTTGCTAAAAATGTGCAAAAAAAATCCTCGTTTCATCTGGCTGCCAAATATTGAAGTATTGAGATATCCAGTTCAAGCAACTGAGAGAAATTAATGAACTTAGAGCCAAGGTTGTTTTATAATCAAGGGGTCTTACAAGAGGGCTTCTACTATCTCTATACAGAGGATGGATTCAGTTTGTTGCTGAGATCGTGAGGTATTTTTTAATTATTAACTATTATTTAATTTACCAGGTAAGGCCCAATGAGCTACACAGCTCTTTTTCAAAAGTGACCTGGCTGTCACAAATGATAGCTCAACGAAGTGGCTTATCATGTCGACATGTATAGCAGCCCAATACTTAGAGCAGGAGGGAAAAACTGGAGGACCCGGAGCAAAATCTACGCGACTACACGGAAAACACGCGAACTCCAAATATACAGCAGGCATCAGGGTCGGGATCGAACCCACAACCTCCTGTATACCAGGCGAGGTCGTTAACATCCCGCCACCGCAGCTCCAATATTTTATGCATCTCCACCTTTCCGTGGGGATTTTATGGAAGAGCCATGGTGTCCATGTGTGCAGCGGAGCTCTCATTGAAGCCACCGACGCAAAATGTGCAAAATCTCTCTGGGTCAAAGGTTCGTCAAATGTGCGAGGAGATAAAGGCGTATATCTAATTAAATCCAGCATAAAAATAATCCATCTCTCAATTAAAAATATATATCTAGAGCTAGTAAGATTAGGGGTGAGATACAGGTATTGATTAAATATGATTTCTGCCTATAAATAATAATTAATAATAACAATAATTTACCGCCCTTTGCCAGTCCACTGCTGGATGAATGCCTCCCCACACCATTTTAGATTCCGGGGATTTGTTTTGGTCAGTGCAGGTTGGGGAAGGCGGCGTTTCTCAGAAGCAGTTCAGATACAACTCGCCACTGATGTTAGCCGTTGGCAAGAACCTAAATCGGGATACCGGGTTAATAGCACAGTGCTCTAAACATTGCTCCACCGATCCCTCCAATAAGCCTACATATATAGACGATAAAAATAATACATTCTCGGCCTTACATTGAGAGACAAACAGAAAACACGCGAACAGGGCTGGCCATAGTGGGGTACGGGCCCCCCCCCCCCCCCCGACACCTTCAAACTATACCAGCAGTGTTACATCTGACACCGTGACATCGAAGCGCGGGGGGCTCCCCCAAAGCAAGGGGCCCGGGGCAGTCGCCCCGATTCCCGTGTAACCCTCGAGGACGGATCTGCACATGGAATGAGAACGCTACTGCCTACTGTACATATACCGTATATATTGAATCGTTCAAACGGTCCAGAGAAGTAAGTGGGGCGGGCTTGGGCAGGGACACGCCACAGCCAGAGAGGATCACGGCCAATGGTCAAGACTAATAACGGAGTGGCGGTCAAGGAACGGAACGCAATCGGAGAAGAAGCACACCGAGGAGGAGCAGCAAATGAAATCGGTTCATGTGCGTGCGCTAGGAAGATCATTACATTGGAGGATCGTGGTTGAAGCTCGGGGGAGACCTTAATTCAGCAGTGGATTGACCATGACTGATGATGATGATGATGATTATTACAGAGGTGCACCTGACAGACTAAGTGCTCGACATTGCGCTCACCCCCTGCCGCTGCTGCTATTGCCGCCCTCCTTGTCCTTCCATTAAGTTCAGTGCGACCTGCTCCTTGACGGCAGAAGCCGTTTGCGGCGCATCGCTCTGTACACTTGGCGCGGGGGGGGGGGGTATCGACTGTCATCCGTCACCTTGTCGGCGCGTGAGAGGGATTACAGTCGGGACTCCGCCGCACAAAGCCCGAGAGCCGTGCCGCCGCCGCTGCTGCGCACCTGTGCTCGCGATAAAAATGCGAGATCGCGATCTGCCCACGGAAATACGTTCTCGCGGTGCACTCACGCGTGCGCGCCGTCCTCCCCATTTGGTCGGTTGTCCATTTTGATGGGCCCGTCTATTTTAGTCACGACGTGCACCAAAGAGCCAACGGCAATGCAAAACAATGAGGCGTCGGTCGGGGAAAGCATCGTCACACACGCGGCACAAAACTGAGTGCTTTGACGCAAACCGGTGCGGGTCGCCCCGTTCGTGTGCTCTACGAAACTTGCGACCCAGGTTCGATTCCCGCTCACGGCCAACACCAGTGACGATTATCTGAACCGGCCCTGGGCCTCCGCTAGGTCGACTCAGCCTCAATTCAGTACCATGTGTGGTGTGTAAAACATCGCCACTCGGGAGACAAAGCGGTCGGGCGTGGTGCTGGCCACCCACCCCCTTCGTGTGCCGTGCCGGCCTTCGATGCTCGCTATCAGCACTTGCCACAACAATCTGTTAAGGCTATATGGGGGGTCTTTGTCTTTGTTTGTGAACATGGAGGCCGGCTCAACTCTTTGGCTTCTTTTTAAAAGCCCCCTTCTATTGATGAAGTGTCGTGATGTTAATGGATTGCTTTGATTTACAACAACAGAACATGTAGCGATCACTGCCACCCTGAAGAGGGGCGAGAGCCCAAAAGGTATCGTGCTCGTTATTTAGCTCTTATATCACAGTAGTGGGTGATGAAAGAGGCCGTTGTGTGTGATTAAAAAAATCTGCTCCCAAAGTTTTTTTTGCCTTTTTTACGTAACGCCACTGTGCACATGGTAAAATCATGAATACACAATTCACACCTCCGATTCGCACGGTTGGCTGCGTACGATGCGAAAGAAGTTCAACATACATACGCACGTACACACAATTCAAACACGGCTAAATATAAAAACACATCACGCGCACGTGCACCATACACGGACGCAGTCGTACACACACACGGGCTTGTAGTGCACAAACTCACATGGCGGGTCTACATAACAAACACAAACACACACGTGGAGATGAGGCCTGCGTCCCAATGTCTATCCACGAAACTGAAAAATCCGAGTGTAAGAGTTTGCAGGTAATAATTCTGGCAATAAATGGTTGAATTGTAAGGGACAGCAATTTGCTTGTGGCCCGTGTAGCTTTGGTAGGTGTGATGGTGGTATGTATTCAAATGTAACGATGTTATTACATTGCCTAAGACTGCCAGAGCAAATACAGTTTAACACGTAGGCTTTCGCGACCAATGTCATCAATAATAAAGTTTGATTTGGGCTAGATCGCTTAATTATAAATGTGGTATTAACAAACTGCCTGATGAAGCTGGTTGCAATCACCAGCAAAACATCGTTTTAAAATTGTAAATATTGTGGGTTTAACTCTCGGTCTAGACCAAGATCAGCCACCAATAGCCACTCGTGTTGTGTGTGGCCACGAACTGAGACCATGACCGTAGCAGTCTCCCCCCACCCTGTGCAGCCTTGACAGACTGTCGGGGCAAGTGCTGTTAGCGAGTGCCTATGAAGGCCGGTACGACACACGAGGGGTTGGGGTGGCGAGCACCACTCCCCGGCCACTTTTGTCTCCCTAGTGACGATGTTTACACATCGCACCGGGTACTCATTTGAGGCTGAATCGACCTAGGGGAGGCCTAAGAGCAGTTCAGATAATCGTCACCGGTGTTGGCCATGAGCGGGAATCGAACTCACCGGGTTCGTAGTGCCGTGCGTTAACCACTACTCTACCGTACCCCACATACACAGAGATAAAGAACCCCTGTATAGCCTTAACAGACTGTTGGGGCAATTGACATTAGCGAGCACATACACACACGCACGCACAAACACGCACAGCAACACAGGAGCCGTGAGTTCACGACGGAGCAGCCGGGGAGGGCAGCACGCGGACGGACACTCACCACTCTCGCTCGCCGGAGCTTCGCGCACCACAAAGAACTGGGCAAAAGCTCGTTCCCTGCTCGCGCTGCGATCGGACGCCTCCACCGCCGCCGCCTGCTGCTGCTGCTGCTGCTGGGCGGTGAGGTGCATGCGGCGGAGCCCCTCGTTGTGCTGATGCTTGAGGGAGCGCGCGTGCTGCAGCAGGTTGAGGCGCGAGCGCGTGCCGTAGTCGCACAGCGTGCAGTGGTAGGAGCGCGCCTCTGGACGCACAGCTGCGTCCTGCTGCTGCAGGAACTGCAAGAGACAAAGACAAAGACCCCCCCCATGTAGCTTTAACAGACTGTTGGGGCAAGTGCTGTTAGCGAGCACCTGCAAAGGCCGGAATTGGGCACGAGGGGTTGGGTGGCCATCACCACGCCCGGTCGCCTTTGTCTCCCCAGCGGCAACGTTTATACACACCGCACCAGGTACTCAATTGAGACCGAGTCAACCTAGGGGAGGCCCGGGACCAATTCAGGTAATCGTCACTGGTGTTGGCTGTGAGCAGGAATCGAACCGCCCATACTGGGAAAATTGTGAAAAAAAGCTTCATAGCTCATTGGATTCCCCCAATCTAAACAAAGATTCTGAACTCGGGTCGCCGGGTTTGTAGCACAGCACGCTAACCGCTACGCTAACCGCTACGCTACCGCTCCACCCCCACCGCTATGCTGTTATTAAAGCTCGTACAAAAAATAACTAATGATTTAATGCTGAGTCGACCAAAGTGATGGCCCATGACCGGTTCAGATAGTCACCAATGATATTGCCCATGGCTGAGTTTGTAGCGCAAACCGTTGCACCACCGCTCAACATGTAAACGCAGGGGCACAGACACGCAAGCACCGGTACAAGGATGAACAGTCGCACATGTGGCCATACGAATGGATGCCAGCACGTCCATTTGTAATACACTCACACAAAGAGATGCACTTGAAAATGGATTCTAAAAACAAACATCCGCCATGTAGAATCAAAACCACGATTTATCCCGGAGAAATCCGATGTGCAGTTGTAGTACACAGACTATAGCCCACCTACGGTGCGTGAGGGGTTGGGTGGCCACCACCACGTCAGGCCACCTTGGTCTCCCCAATGCCAAAGTTTACACACTGCGCCAGGTACTAAGTTATGGCCATGTGACCTCAGGGGAGCCCTAGGACCGGTTCAGACATTCGCCGCCGATGTCGGCCGTGATCCCACATACAGCACGTGCACACACACACAGACACACACGCAGACATACACGCACACACACGCACACACACATATGCATACGTGAGGACACGAAAAGACAAAAGAGGGTGGGGAGTAAAACATTATGAACTCAAAATGAGTGACAGTTAATATGACGAACTGTTGGTAGCGAATACAACTCAAACACGCAGACCTTGAGCTACACCCAAACATTACGAGACCTTAATGTCATCACTAATAACAACGTTTAACTTCTATTCTGAATGTTCCAAATGCTGGCTGCGCCCGTGAAGTATTCTCATTCCTGCCTGTCTACCCATCTCAGGACTGTGCTGTGACGAGGCCTACACGAAGGTCGCCGTAGTCCCTCCTCTAAGCCTCATTACATGGCCACTTTTTGGCAGGATGACTCTAAGCCAGCCTGGACCACTGACCGGGTCGGAACATCTCCACGAGGCTCACGCGGGGCCCGCCGCGTCACCGGCGACGGCGTTGGGGCTTGCCCTGGCTCTGTTCAGTGAAGTTCCCAAGGCCCCGACACGAGAGGTCACCGCAGCGTGTGGCCAGGGGGGTTTGTAATGTGTCGAGAACTACACAATGTTTGCTTAAAATAAGACTGAGCCAAAAATGTTTTTGCTTTAATATAACAGAAGGACCCACACCTGGCTAACGGATTATAATCTCAGGCTTCCTACTATCACTGCCCTGTGCACTAAGAAATGTGTGTGTTTCACACAAGTCTGTTTTCAATCTATATATATAGGGCGCCATAGTGGCGAGATGTTAACTACCTCGCCTGGTATGCACGAGGTCGTGGGTTCGATCCCGACCCTGACGCCTGCGGTATATTTGAAGTTTGCATTTTCTCCCCGTAGCCGCGTTGATTTTTCTCCGGGACCTCCGTTTTTTCCCTTCACATTAAGAATCTAAATGCGTTTAGAGTATTTGGCTGCAATAAATTTCCGCATGCTAAGCATTTCCACATGATAAGCCACTTCGTTGGGCTAACATTTGTGGCCAGGTCCCTTCTGAACAATAGCTATGTAACTCAGTGGGGCTTGACTGGCTAAATGAAAAAGTTTAGTTTATTTTACACACACACAGACACATCTGATGCAACCAGGTTGTGCCGTGACAAATAAGTCGACTCAAAATGCCCGATTGGGGTAGACCAGGCCCATCACCCCACAGGGGGCTGTTAAAAAACGAGTAATCACTTGGGGCAGGCAGTCAACAGCGAGTGTCCGACGGCGAGACTGGTCCCCATCGTGGGAATGTGCTCAGGAGCAGGAGTACTTGCTCAATCAGACACACGAGATGCCTCTCTCCCTGTGGAGGTGGGGTCAACTCAGGTGGGGTCAACCCAGGTGGGATCAACTCAGGTGGAGGTCAACTCAGGTGGAGGTCAACCCAGGTGGGGTCAACTCAGGTGGGGGTCAACTCAGGTGGAGGTCAAATCAGGTAGGGTCAACCCAGGTGGGGGTCAACTCAGGTGGAAGTCAACGCAGATAGGGGGCCATCACCTCCCTTGACATGGTCACTCACTCAGGCGTTGTGTCCAGTCAGGTCTGGTGCAATGCAACTCCGATGCGCACTTCCGCAAGAACAGGAGCGATTCTACGTTGCCCGTACGTGCGTATGTGTGTTGAACTTCTTTCGCTTTATCCATCGGCTTTGGACTAAGGGTGGGGGGTAACTGCTATCCGTTTGCACCAATGGGTAAACACTGGAAATGCTGGTAAATGTAAAAGTGAAGAGGCAGTAAAAAAAACCTACGTAAACACGAGCCAGCAACAACAATCGTGTACGAGCACTCACACGCGCATGCATTCTTTCTGCTTCGGTTAGTGTTTGTAGTTCATGAAAGCACAACGATATTAAAGGCAAACATTTAAATAAAAACACACATGTCCGCCAATATTTCAGCCAACAGGCCCTCATGAAGACCTCCTGGATGTAGCTTTAATGTAATTGAATGGCTGTTCTAATGGCGCATGTGGTGCTGCTTATATACAGTTTTCCGTAATGGGCTCCAACCCTATGCACCGCATTCAGATTTTAATATATGGCCTTTTATTATTAGTTCTGCCGCCACTTTGTTAGCGAAAACATAATATCAGAATACGGCGCTCATTCAATACGGCACGGTCTATACTTAGCGCGGGGGTGTCTGGCGTAATATTAAAAGATCCGACTTGCCGGAATGGCCTTTTGGCTCTGGCCCCATCTGCTTATTTGAAGGGGGCACCCCCTGTGCCGACGAACGGAATGCGCGCGGGCGCGCGGGCGCACACTCCGCACAGCGCGCGAGGTATCGCGGGGTGGGGGGCGATTCCGCAATTCAAAAGGTGGGGGAGGGGGGTCCCCCACAGGAGGAGGAGGACAAGCATGGTGCAAGAAAGACCACGAGCGAGTTCCCCCCATCCACCCCCCCCCATCCACCCCCCCGCCGCAGACGCCGCCCACCGCTTGAGCGTTCGCCAAAGCAGCAGACTGGGACTAGCGCAGGTGTCCCGCGTTAATCACGGTGCGCCTCATTTAATAAACAGATACTTCAGTTGCATGCCTCCTGCCCGTGGCTTTGCCCATGGGTGCATTTTTGGGGTTGTCCGATTAAGAAAAATCAAAAGGAAAAGGGTCAGGGCCATTTTGGCACGCTGGCATATCGTGGGCACAAGCTCAGCGTCGAGCTGCGGGTAAATCGGGTAAACGCTCGTGCGAATGTTCACTTTACACGCGCACTTACAAGTGTTTACGTGCGGTGTTATTCTCCCGCACTCTATCTATATGTATGCAAATTGGTTATCAAAGTGTTTACGCTAATGAGCCAGAGGGCTGGCGCCTCGCTCTGTAAACGCGGAGTACTCATTACGCGCCAAACTTATTAAATATTTATCGACGTTTTGTGTGCGGTGGGGCAAAGAGCACTTGTCACAATTAGCCCGCGCTTATTACGAGTACAGTGCCCGAGCACGCGACCGCTGCGCGCCGGGACGGCCGCGCAAACTTCCCACGCGGAGGCGACACCGCCGGCGTCCGTCAAGGGGGGCGGCGTGGCTCCAAAACTAAAAAATACACGCGGGGACCTCGGACGCATTGCGTCAGCGTAACCCGCACTGAGAAGCCATTGATTACGCGAAGGTCGAATTGTCATTGTGTAGGCTACATTCTTTTATGTTTTGGGGTTTCTGTTTTAACAGCAAACTCGTTCTCTCACCTAAGAAGACTTTAATTTGCGACCCTAAGGGAGTACAGTTGCTGGCCAGGGTCCAGTAAATACAGGTTTGGTGCCAAACATGTTGTGGCGGTTTTAGGAAATAATTATTATTTCCGGAGGGCAAACCGAGAGAAGGCGAAGCGAAGCGTGCTTTATTCAAATGTGTTTAGCTTATTAACAGGCTTCATTAATTCCAGCAACAAATTGCCATGCCGTTGTTAAAGGAGGAGGAGATATGTGCAGATAATTAAGACTAAAACAAAGGGGTCAGTGTGTTTTTCGGGCCCAGCGAGACATAAACAGCCTTGCAGGTGCACGGAGCCCAGAGATTTTTCCCAGGAAGCCATTTATTGCCCACACGAGACCCCACTGAGGGATCGCATGCAGGCCGCACACAACTTTCTCATTAGCTCTACCCCCCCCCCCACTCTCTCTCAAAAAGTTTCCACCACTTTTTTTCACGCATGTTCTATTTCCCTTCCCGACATTTGTGCTCCACCGTCCCCCCGCCCTCTGCCCTGATCGCTCAGCAGCATCCTTGATTTGATCCTTGCACTCGCAAGCATCCTCTAGACATCTGGGATTTTAATTGGGGGCCGTGGAAGGATGCTTTTCTGGCAAGCGCTGGTACACAGAGATTAACGAAGAGTTTCAGACGCATGGCCGTGGCCCTTGCGGACCTCTATACAAACAATGCGCTCTGACAATTTTACACGGCACAGACACGATAGTTACGAAAACTCCAGCATGGAGGACGCATCGCGGTGTTGAGGAAGTTTTCGCCAAGAATGTTGGATCCTACCGGATTTCGCTTGCACCACATCTGCATGAAGTGAAAAAT